TAATCGTGACTAGTCGACTAATCGTGACAGCCCTAATTAAGATAAAAGAAAAAAAGAAACGTGGGTGATAGATGTTAATTTAAATGAACAGATAAATATTGGATTGCTGTATGTTAACATGTTTGAATGTTTAAACTACCATTTCAATTGTCCATTTTCTAAAAAATATAAGTGTACTGCTACGTTTATTGGGTGGACAATGAAATGTTGGTAATGTTGGGATAACTGTTTTCAACTTAATATGCACCCATATATTTAAAGATTAAAGCTTTAATTTATCTTGCTCTGATTGCAGTTTATATACACCGTGGTTTAGCTACACAGCACATGTCGATACCATGCACCTGAAAAAATGCACGCTAGAAATCCCAGTTCCCTAAGTATATTTATATTGTTATTTATCTGACATTAAATGTACAATATACCCACTAACAACAGTAAACTTAGTCATGCGTTAATGTGTCAAATGATATCAAATGATGATGTTCTAAACATCATAATTAGGAGACATCAAAATGTAGTAATTTAAATATTTACAAAATTAGATGTTACTGTTGTGAAATTAAAATGAGGAGATTCTTAAAAAGGTCTTATGTGCAAGAATGCTACAAGTGGGTTATTTCAGCTTGTAGGCAGTTACTAGACAACTTGATACTGTCATAATTGTTAGGGTACCTGGGATGTTGAGTCAGTGTTTTGTGTTTTTGGTTGTTTGAGTCTTGTTTATTCATAACTGTTTTCTCTGTGTGAATTGTTTCCTAGTTGCGTTTCTGTATTTGTAGTTCAGATTGTCTAGTTAGTTATTAGGTTCCTTTTCATGCCCTGGTCTCGCCTTCGTGTCCTGTTTGTCTTGGTCTTGCCTCTGTGTGTCCTCTGTCAGGTCAGTCTAGTCTTCATGTTTATCTGCCTGTTTCCCTGCTCATGTCTCTGTGTGTCACTCTGTTGTTCCTTGCTCTCTCGTCCTCTCTCTCCTCACTTTTTTCCCAGTGTTTCATCTGTCTCATACTTCCTGTTTTAGTTTGACAGTCTCTTGTCCGGTGTGTGTCATGTTCAGCTGTCTCGTTAGTTAGATTATGTTCAGTTGTGTTCCCCCATGTGGTTTGTTCCTTTGTTTGACCTTATGTGTATGTCTGCGTCTGCCCTTGTCCTGCGTTGCAATCTACCTCATTCTTGCCTGTTTAGTTCCTAGTTTCTTCCAGTTTGCTTTCATGTATTTTGTAATCAGCAATAAAGCTGTGTTTTGAGTTAGTCCTGCCACTAAGAGTCTGCATTTTGGGTCCTCAATCCTGCCTGCTTCATGACACATAATATTTCATATCGATAAGAACCTTCAGGGGCCTAAGATGGACCTGTTTTAGTTGCTCAACCCCTGATCATGTAGAGAGAGTTCACAGGCATGCACACAACCTGATACAGACTTTATGACAATACAGCAAGATTCAAATGAAAAGAAATTACCAAGATAAATAGCTATCTGAGTATATATTAGCCCTGAGAATGAGAAACCATGATGTATGACTGGTATTTGTGTTGTATTTTGCTGTTCCCCACAATGCTTGAGTTCCCTCCTTCCTTATCCTGCTACTGTAATTGTGGAGCAGTCTGTGTGTCTGACTAATCCTTACTCCAAATTCCCTCAATCCCATCCAAACTCAAATCAGGGGCAGCCTGTGATTCAAATTTGGATGGGAATTAGGGATTGAGAGATTTTGCATGAGGTGATTGTTATTGTTGTCTTTTGTAATTTCTCCTAAAAACAAAAAAGCAAGTCACTTCCCATGTCACATCCTCTTTAATCTGAATTACACTTCACTCAAAGACAGTATTTTTGAAAGCCCAAGAACTGCACACTGATTAACCACTATCAGAATTTTTTGATTTTTCATCAAACCAATAAAAACCAAACAAATATTTGCTACATAACTATGACATTCCTTTTATTCATTTCATTTTTCATATATTTTGTTTATATATATTGTTGCTTTTAGTGAAAGTAGAAAAGGTTCCTGAACGATCCCTTCACTGAATATTTTTCTGCCTCTTAAATAGAATTTTTGCTTTGTCATTGCAAACTCTGAAGTACTTTGTTTCGGCTTATTCATACTTTAAGTCTGTTTAAATGTGGTTACCATGACTATTTCACTTACTTATTACACCGTTGTGAACATTACATTTTATATATCATATTACATATTAAATGTCAATGCTGTTAGGTGACTTGAAAGTAGAGTCATTAAAACAGGACATGAAATAGTGTTTGTAAGCCCCATTAAAGAAATGGATCGAGGAAAGCACTTACAAACAGTTGTGATATTGAAATGACTAAATAATAGTTGGGTTTTTTGTTGTTTTTAAAAAACTGTGAAAAAGTTGACAGACCATCAGTTTTATTCTCAGCTGAAGTTGTTGCGGGGAAGGCATATGAACTTTATTGTAGTTTAATGTGTGCTTTTTTCTCCCCTCAGATTCCAAAAATGTCAGATTTATGGCCACACCGCCAGTCACCCCTATCCATGTCCCCATAAAATAGCAGAGCAACATCTGTCTCATGCAAATTACTTTTGGATATTAGGAATGCAAAACAGCAAATATGTTTGGAAATAAATGTATTGGAGCCTAGGTTATGTTTTCCATTAACATAATGAGGAAATGTTGTGAATTTATGGACTTGGCAAATTCCAAAAATGTTGATTTCCTGAGTAAATCAACAAAATGTGTTTTATCCTATTATAATGCAATCTCATCATAAAAAAAAGTATGATTTTGACGTGTCCATGGTTATGCACACCATTGTTGTCTTGGCTAAGCGACTTGAAGAACAGGGCAGGATGTGTTTACCTCATTGTCATTCAAACAACATCGCGTTTGTTGCCTAAAGCGAAACACACTCGGGACTCAGAATGCAAATGCCCGTCACTTATGCCAAGTCTTGCACTTCGTATAACCTCTGCAGTTGTATGTAGCTTTGCTTTGCTTGCTCTCTATAGCCTTTCCAAATTTTACATTTGAGACTATATACACTACATGTTATGTTCTGCCCTTCTGTCATGCTGACAGTAATAAAGTAAGTTTAAAATAAACACTTCTATTTGAAAGTATCTCCAATATAGAGATGAATAAGTTGATGGCATAAGTGGATTTTTAATGCTTAGCCCCTTTACTCTGTTTCCCTCTGTCTTTGTTTTATGCTAAGATCAAATGAATTCCGGCTCCAGTTTCATATTTAGCTGGCAACCAAGTTTCCCGATATGTCAAACTACTTCTTCAGCACTAATTTATGCTGGAAAGATTATTTTTGAAGGGGATGTGAAAACACTCCTGTCTTCCCATCCCGTCACTGCTTATGTTTATACTTGTGAAAGCATGCAGACAGTGAAAAATCTAAAATTAAGAATGTAGTTTAAAAAAAAAGTCCCTCTGACTGAACCCGCTGCATAAATAAATGAATAAATGAATAGATTAATATTTAACAACATCTGCTGCTAAAAAAAAGAATAAATTTAAGTCAAAGTGTGTGTGTAATAAGGTTGTGTTTCATGACTTGTTGAATAACATCCCTGAAACTAAAAAAAAATGAAATTTTCTTCCACATCTAAATGCAAATTACAACCCAACTCAGTTTTGCACAATAATTCAGTTCAGCTTTTAAATCTCTATTGTCAACATTACCTTTTGTATGCGCAGGCTGTACTCCAGCTGTCCTTTAGTGACCAGATCTACTCTGGGGTCCAGGGACCACTTGTCCTGGCCGGCAAAGATGATGTTGGATCTATTGAGCCAAGCCACCTTGGAGACTTTGTCATCAACATAACACCTGCAGCGAGAACAAAAACAGGTTAGGTGAGAAATAGCAAGACCCGGCTCTTCATTACGGGGGGAAACAAATGGATGCAACTTTTTTCCATTTCATGATATGTAATCCTATTAGGCAAAATGAAGTGTGGAGTTTTGTAGATAGGGAAAGCAAACAAATCACAGCAATTATGCAATCCAGCTGAGTAGGCGGGGGTGTATGGAAGTCAAAGGTGCTTTGGGTAAGCTTTATACAAACAGTTGTGCTGAAATAATAAGCCAAGCTGGTCATGTTTTAATATAGTTCAGCACTGCTATGTTTGATACCACTGACTAACAAAGACTGTTAAGTTAAGCAGACACCTAAGGCCTCTACTAATTCCAATGTCTTGGAGTAAAAACCAAAGTGAACGACCATTTTTTCTCTTCTCCTCCCACACACCCCCTTGTATTGCCTCCTGAACCCTTCACCTTCTTTACCACTCTTTTTCTCTGATGAATACATCTCCTTTAACAGTATGTCATTCCTGTGGATAAGAAGGGACACCGGTATCCTCTTGTTTACTTCTTGTTGCATGCTGTCAGCGCATTACACCAAGTAAGCTCAAGCTAAGACATCTTGCACGGGAGTGAAGGGAGCCGAGTGTCTTCCTAATGAATAAATGTAAATGTGAGAAGAAGTCAATGAGAATGGATATCAGTTGTAATGCAAGCCGACAGTGAATGCGCCTCACATGCAAATTCCGGCAACTCGCCGAGCCTTGGCTGCGCACACCACTTTGGATTGTGTTGAGCTACAAGAGAGTAGCTTAGTGAAGCAGTGGAGTGAGGCTGTCTTTGGCAGGTGACCCCGGGTGAAGCACAAAAGTGTTGGTGCAGTCACCCTAGTCTGCTTCACAGCGGGAGCTGGATGTCAGATTTGTTGAAGGTTTGTACTCGCAGCTTTAATCCCTACTGATGTTCCTTCCCTTTGTGTGGAACCAAGATAACTCACTGTGTTTACTGACTCGCTTTGACAGCTATCTTCCTATTCCGTCACTCTAAAGTGTTCCTCCAGTTTTGTTTCAAGAGTTTTCAGTGTTCTAATTAAAAGAAGCAATTCAAAAGCTCGCTATGCTAATTCAGATACATTTTTCTGTAATCAAAGAAAGTTCTATGAACTGCCCCTTTCCAAAGCTAGCTAGAAGCCAGGGGGAACAAGAGGTGCAGAACAGACTGAGTGATATTCAAATGCATAAAATGTAAATCGTTTCAGTTCATTAGCTTCTCAAAACAAACCATGAAGGATGTGACAGTGTGGAGCTGGGTGCATGCAGCTTATATGTTAACACCATCATAAGCTTATATATATAAGTTTTGAGCTTTGTTACATTTTGTGGTTCTATATGTCCTGGAAGTAGCAATCAGACGATGGTTACACTGTCATAAAGGGAGGGACACACTCAGTAAAGGTACTGAGGTAGCAATGATCAGTTGGTACCAAGGACCCCAAAATGTGCCAAGGAAATATCAACTGCACCATGACACCACCACTACCAGCCTGAGGTGTTGATACAAGGCAGGGTGGATCCATTCTTTCATGTTGTTTGGATTAAATGCTGACTCTGCCATCTGAATGTTGCAACAGAAATCAAGATTAATCAACCAATCAGTGGCAACTCAATGCATTTGGGTTAAAAAGCAGTTCAAAAGGTGTACCTAATAAATGGCCATTCTGTGTATGTGTGCATGCAAGTGTGTCGTGACATAGTGCAACATCGTTGTTCACGTGTGACACCCAAAAGAACTGATCCTTTTGAGAGCATATGACATGTCTGTGCCTGCTCCTCAAAGTGCTTTCATGCAGTTAAATAAAAGACCTATAGTTCACTTGCTAATCAATTTCCCATGAAACTACCATTTCTTTCTGACCACAATCACATTAGTATTGATGAAACTGTTTTGAAAGCTTTGTAAACTACCATTCACCAACTGGCAACTCTTGGGTGCACAAAATTGAAGCTGCACACCTGCCAAAAGCTGTCCACTTGACGCTGGCTTGAAAAGTGAATCTGCATTCATAGGCTCCCACATTAAAATGCCCCAAAATTACAGCAGAAATAAACATGCTTGTTACTCACTACAAAAAACCCTTTGGTCTCTGCTGCCATTTTTCTCCTTTATAGTGATTGTAGAGACTGCGATGATTTTTAACCTTTCAAATTATAGTAGGGAGAAAAGGGTGTGGTCATGTCCAATGACAGGTGAATATAGACGCTGCAGCTGTAGCCTCTAGCTGTCTGCTGGGCAACACTTGGCTAATTTCAGCTACTACACTGGATCTCTGTTTCATGTCTCTGGTGTTGGTTGCTTTTGATGCAATTTTTATGCACTTATCTGACAAATAAACCATCCATGAACTCTGTGCTCCAGTTTTGTTGAGGGAAACTCTAATATTTTACTTGATTTGTTACTTAACACTAATTAACATACACTCTACAACCTGAATTGATAATGCCAGTCTCTTGTCCAAACATGGTCACACACATTCCAACATCACCCTAACAAAGTATTGACCACAGTCCTAGACCCTGCGGATGATGTCCTATTGGTTACATCCAGGAACTAGTCCAGATGGGGCGGGTATTCAATCAAACAGGTAGTAAAGTACTAGTTTAATCCTGTGTAGCTTACTATTCCCCAACACTAATAATCAAAACCTTCTGGTGCTGTTTTTGAACCACACAATCTGCTGCTCTAGACGTTAATCGTCTACAGCTCCTCCACATTAGTGCAAGCTATGGACACACACTGACAAATTGCTTGCAGTGAAGCAATAAACTGCCCTGGCTGACTGAATGCTTGCATCTTGTTTCCTTGTACTGCACTTGTTTCCTCTCCTTCCTCATTACTGCTTGTCGCCTACTGCGAAGTAACCACGAGGAGGTGGGAAAAGAAAACGAGATGAAAAAGACAACCACACGAATGGACACGATGCTCGTTTAGAGTTACGGTTTAATGTCGTTTTCCCGATCACATTAAAGCGTAGCCTGTTAATGAACCCGAACTTTTTTTACTGGATGCAGTTGTTAACATCAACATACATTAAAATCTACTTTTTGCTGTAGCGCTGACAAATCCACATTTTATGTTTTCCTGTTGAGAGGAAAACCATCCTGACTGATGCCGTGTGACTGATAAAAACTCAGTTCTCTGACTGCCAAATTGGTACTCATAATGTAATTATTATGTAAATGTTAGATAATTGGTGGTTCTGACATATGATTAAAAATTCACAGTGTGGGTTAGAGCAGCTATTTTAACAGAAATTAGCATCATAAAAAAGAAATGGAACTTTCTAAAAAAAGACCACAGCAGTGAAGTTGATAGAAACAGCTTTGCAGATTATATAAACACATGCAAGCACATGTAACAGTGCTGATAACTGACTGCGCATACTTTAATTTAATAGACTCTCTCCCCGGTGTATTATCCAATTGTATAACCACTGTTACTGAAATATTCGATGTAAAATTGTGCACACAGAGGCAGTATTACACAACACTGTGCATGAAGTTGTTTGTGCATTATTAAATTTTAAATCGAAAAAGTTTATTTTATTACTTTTCTTAAAAAAATTCACCCTTCCCCACACAGGATTAAATTACTTTATTCATTAATTAGTTAATAAATTTGGTTTCAGGTCTTAGAAAATGAGTTCAACCCCCTACAATTGAGCACGCTGTGTTGTTCAATTACATCAAAATAGATAGATAATTGATGTTTATATAGTTGCATACACACATGCTAAATGGGATAATTTACATAACAGCAGATGATCAATGCAGAATGCATTGAAGACGTTAAATGAGTTTCTACCTCCTCAGCCTTCCCCACTGTTACTTGATGTCTGAGTTTCCTGTGATTAATAAAGTGATTTATTGGTATGATCCATGCAAAAATGTCATGTACTAAAAATACGACTATGAGAAAAATGCTTCCCCCCCACAATAAACTCAAGATTTCTTACAGTGACCTTTAAAATGTTGTATGTGCTGACGATCCAAAGACTCACTTTAATACCCGATGGCTCTTTATAATTCATAATTAGAACTTTACCTGAGATCCTGATACATGCTTATCACCCTGCTTTACTTCTGCTGCTTTCCTGCATACATATTCATTTATTAATGGTGAAATATTTTGAAAAAGGCTTTTAGAGTGACATTCAACACAGAGTTATATATTCACTTATTTTATGATTACTCTTGCCATCAACCTGAGCACTGTGTCATCAGCATTCACCTAGACACAGAGTAGTGGCACTGGTTGGACTGGATGCTTCAGCCATTCAAAACAGGTCTCCAGTTTCCCCCCAGTCATCCAGAACATATCCAATAGGTACTACATGTCTTATGAGGGCAATGGGACTTTATGTTATGTTATTAACATAACGTAATTATCTTTATGTTATCAGGTTGTAATGCAGAAATTTGGAACATCTGAGACCTATTACAAATTAGCTTTCAGCGTCAAGTTCTCAGCTAGGCTCAGAGTCAGGCGCTTTCATTTCTGTGAGAAGGCTTGCCTCCGGCTGAAGCTTCTTAACATTTGTTTTGTTTAGCTCTGGGTTTTCTAAGGAGCTATTCCCAGGTCATCACAGACGATGAATTCCTCCTTTACTGTCTAGTTATAGCCATCTTATTGATTTTTGCTTATTTTAAACGAGACAAAACGTGGGTATTCAAGTACTCTGTGCACCGATCAGCCACTGACAGGTAAAGTAAACAGCATCAGTCATCTTGTTACTATTTTAGACAGTACTGCATTTTCATGAATGAATGAAATAAAACTAGTATTGCAACAGCAATACCAGTTTTAGCTCACATGCCAGCTTGTTAACTAGCGTGGGATGTGCATGCACCTGGAGCCATTTTGCCACAATTTTAATCTTTACTCGTTCACTTAAGGATTCTAGAGAAAAACAAGAACTCACTGTGGTGCTTAAATAAAACCAGCAGCTATTGCCAATACTTACATTAA